CTACTGGCGGTACAGCTACCCTTTAGGACCGGTTAGTATCCTTTAGAATCTAGTAATGGAATCACCGTTTTTGACTACCATTGGTACTACTCAGAAAAACAGCCTGCTGGTGCACGCGGCTGGGGCCACACCGGGTGCACCCCTGGCACGGGCCTCCCTTCTGAGACAGGCTGCATGGGGCAACCCAGCACACACCATCCTCCCACAGGGACCGAGCATCTGCGCAGAGTGCTTTTAGTGCTCAAACTGTACGCAACCCTTTGGAAATAGCAAGATCCTCCCTCTTGCAGTGTACTCGATACAGTTGCCACCAGCACAAGGCGCTGGGCAAACACAAGCAAGAGTAGGAAAAGTGAATTGGCATCAGTAAGGAGATCAAGCCCAGTCTCACAGGACCCTAGCAAAGAAAGGTTCCACTGGTTAAAATGAGCTTTCATTACACACACGCAGAACAGGAAGGTGCTTGGTCTGCATTAACAGGAATTTCCACATTTACAATGTGTGCAGGTACTTGAAGTCCACACCGCCTTTGTAAGAGGCACTGCAATAACACACAGGTCCAACAAGATGTAGGCCACATTTTCCGGATCGGCAACAAGTGCAGACGCTGCTCAAGCCCCTGAAAACAGCAGAGAAGGCTCTACCGAAGAGCTACCCGCAAGCGTTGGTTTATCTCCTTCCGAAAGAGCAGCTGCATCCCTGCCACCTCCTGGCGGCTCAGTGCCTTGTCACAGGACTGGAAGGTCAGGCGGTAGCAGAGGCTTTTCCGTCCGGTCTCAGACTGCTGGAAACTATCGATTAACTGGATGGAGACGACCATTTCACCTGACACCTGCCTAGCAACTGTGTGAAAAGCAACTTCATCAAATTGTTCCCCATCAGGAACCCAAAAGCTGACATCATGCACATAGGAAGGTGGATAGAGAGAAAAACTCTTGAAAAGCCTTAACTCTCCTCTAGGAAACTGACAGAGGAACCGTGTGTCTGATGTCCAGAGCATTCGCCAGTCAGATATTCCACAGATTAGCATGGCTAGGAGGTCAAGATTCAATGAAGCAAAGACAACAACCAGTTCACTGCTTACTAGTTCGTAATGAGCTGTCCTTATAATTCCCACACAGAAGCCCTTCTCACAGGAGCCTGAAGGATCTATCTCCATACAGATGAAGTACTGAATTTTACTAAGTTGAGATTCAAAAGCAGCAAAGTCATTTAGCTCAGTTGTTTCAAAGCTCTTTGTTTCCTGCAGATTGATACTCACTTTAAAGCGCGGAACAGTCTGGTGAAAAGAATATATGCTGGTTTTAATGTTATTCATCAACATCTGGATACACTTGTTCTCTGTACCCCTGTTAACTGCACATACAAAAACCATCTCATGAAAAACAGGCATGGAGTAAGGAGCGATAAGACACTTCCTGAAAACTGGGCCAGAAAGAACATGAAGTGTCCCCGGGAGAAATGCTCCTCTTTGTATTATTGCCTGAGCATAAGGTAGAAGGGAAGGTCTAAGATAATACTGTTTTGAAATATGGCATCCCTCCGGTACATTCACCCAGCCATTCTTATCTATGTCCCTGCAAAAATCAACATGGGAAAATAAAACTGCATTTGCCAGTCCATTAGACATTTCTTCAGTGCTTGGAGTCTCCTCTGGGCTCAGAATGATCCAAAAGATGTTTGAGTGACAAACACCATTCAGGTGACCTTGGTGGAGCAGAGAAAGGCAGTAGTCAATGTTTTGTAACGGAAAGGCTTGGCTGAGCTCTGCAGTAAGCTTCTCCTTTATTGTCCGTACTGGATGATTTGAATTTAGTTCTAGGAAACCCCTGTGAAAAATAAAAGAGCAAATTACAGACACCACTAAACAGATTTCCTTGAAATGCCTTCCTGCGATCATAACTTGAGTGCAGCAATTTACCCAAAACAATTTCAGATACTAAGCCAGTTTCTAGGAACTACCTAAACAAGCCAAGCCTTTCATCAAAGGTGTTGCAATGGCTAACACATTTTCAGGACAGCGGTGTTTGTCTCCAGGTTGCAATCAAGAATTAACTGCACTTTTGCTGGTAAAAAAGGAATGAGACTTAACAGTCAGCATCACCATTTCCACTCAGCACAAGCACTACCACACTACAGAATGAATAAAATTATGCTAGCCCTGGATAGTCTCCAAAGTACACAGCAGTTTGCCTAAGAGGTTAGCATTTTTTATCCTAGCTAGCCTTAGTATTGTGGTATTAGCAGACACCATGTCAGCTCCTGAATTTCTTCCACAGTACAGTAAAACAGATTAAAGTTTTCATCTTTATTTGTGTGTTCGAGTATATAGCAGCTTGGTCTCAAACATGAAGTTTCTTTTAGTTCTGTAGACTTATTTTTAAGTAGGCCATAACCAAAAGCCAACATGAAGGAGACCTGAAGCAGAGATCGAACAGGAAATTCTGTAAAGGGGAAGGGAGGGAAAGTGAAACAATTCCATTTTATCTGATACCTATGCTAGTCATTCCCACCGAGAGCAGGAGTGTGTGGTATTGCCAAACAGAAACTAATTATAAAACTTACCTATTAATTTTGTCCACAAGTACTTGCGGTACTTGAAAAGAAACTTTTCGGCTTTCCAGTTCTATCTCGCAGATCATGGGTTTGAAATATGGAAGTGGCATGCTTCGTGTGAAAATGTGGTTTAAAGCTCCCTCTACACAGAAAGATTTATCTTGACTCCTGACAATACACAAAAGCAGAGCAAAGTCATTGAGTGTTCCCTATATTTAATGTGTCCCAAGTTGAATCCCAGGTCTTGTTACAAGATGACAAAAATGCAACTCTACTATACTTTTACTGGGCAGGTGGTCCAACATTGGAACAAGTTGCACAGAAAGGTTGTGCAGTCTCCATCCATGGAGACTGAATGTGGCTCTGAGAGACTTGCTCTACTTGGCTCTGCTTTGAGCTGTGGGGTAGGACTAGATGATTGCCAGAGGTCCCAGCCAACACCAACCATGCTGTGATTCTGTGATTGTCTGCTAAGTAGATGCACATACCGCAGTCCTCCTGCTGTCTTTAGGCCAAGATTGACATTTGTTATGAAATGGATGGTTACCTGTAGCCTGTACACTTATATCCATGGATAGTGTCTGCTTTAAAAGGATGAACGTTACTCAAGATAAATCCAGCTCCTGCTGCCACAGCCACTATTTGCCAGCTGTTGTGCCATTCTCTCCTCGGTTGATCAGCAGGTGTCCCACCCTGTCCATTGCAAAGAGCCACATGGATCTCTCCCTCCACTGTCAGCACTTCTGCAGAGCTGGAAGAAAAGCCAGGCAACAAGAAAAATCCTGCTAGTGCACCCAGAAATTTTATAGTGCCAGAAAAACACCTGTAACACAGCTAGAAATCTGTATCGCAGCAGTCAATTAGCATAGAACTACTTCTGGTTTACTTACCCATGGAAAAACTGGGCAAGAAGCTCTCTATTCTTCACTACCCCAGCCTTTCTCCCACAGTGAGGGAAGTTGAAATAAATACAATCAAAGTCTCTTTTTTCTGGTAAAAAATAGTCCTTCAGCTTGGTGCAGTCCACAGAAAACAGAACTTCAGCTCCTTCAAAAGTGGATGAAAAACAAGACTCTGATGTTTATCATTACAGAAAATTATGAAGAAAGGCAGCAATTAAAGTCCTTGAGTCCATTTTTAAGCATATCAGAGCAGCAGCTGCCAGTCACGTGCAAGAGGAAAACCAGAAAGCCTGGGCTCCCTTTGCTCTCTTGCAGAGACTTCTGCTGACTGGCTACTTGTTTCAGTAGTATTCCAGTCTGATTAGATTTCAGGGCATTTGATTTAGCCTCTCGGACAATTCCAATTCCTCGCGGCAAAAGTGGCCTTCCGAGATGCCTGCAGTGGTGAAGGGCTATGAAGTGACGGGACAGCTCCTCCCGAGGCACGGCAGCGCCAGTCCCCGGTTTAACCGAGGCCTGCCGCTCCCCCGCCC